GTCCTCTTGGGATTTTTGGCACACACACACACACACACACACACACACACACACACACACATCTGGCACATTTTTTCAAGTTACCAGGTCTTGGACTAGAATCACGCAGTCGGCTTTGTGGGATCCAGCGCATTAACCACCATGCCACCTGGTTGCCTAGAAACTTTTATTATCTTAATCTAAAGGCTGGATTTATAATCAACTGGTCCAGTCTGGGTGTGACAATGTGTGCTGACTCGGCAGGCTCAGGCCACATGGGCGGTTGGGTTTGGTTCCCGTTCCTCTTTAAAAGACCGGGCAAAGTGGTCCATGCCTGTAGGCCCAGCTATTTGAGAGGCTGAGGCGAGAGGATCGCGACAGAGCAAGACTGTCTGGAGATACTGCACACACCGCGCACGTAGCCCCACAGTCCCCTCGCCGACGCGGAGCCTGCATCTGCTCTCAGATCTCTCCACACTACAGTTCCAGCTTCACCCCAACAGAGCTGCAGCCGGTCCACCCTTGCCAACTGGGCTTGATTCTGCTTCTCTGTAACATTAGTCTGGCTCCAATTCCAAAACTGGTCTCTTCCAGCCACAATGATATAAACTTGAGTGAAGCCTTAAAATCATGTGTTAGGGACCAGCGGTTAGCGTAATGGCTATGTCGCTGGACTCCCACATGGTCGACCACGGTTCGCGTCCCAGACCCGGTGGCTTAAAACTCACACCGGGCGCATGTGCACACGTGCCCAAGATCCCGAGAGGAGAATGGAGGAGAAGGGATTGCGGCGTGGCCATACCCCCGGGGGGTGATTTCTCACTTTCTGTCTCTCTTTCTCTCTCTGTCTGTCCACGCGCCCTATAGCAAAATCCTCTCCAAAAAAAAGAAAAAAAAATCACGTGCTACTCAATATAGTACACTGTATTTATCATAGAAATAATGGGAGTTGCCACCAAATGAATGCCTTAGTCATTACATTCTACAGATCAGTTTTAAATTTCTACGTGATTAAAATACAATAAAATACCCAACACTAAAACTACCTGGAACGTTCATTTTTCTCTCAAAGAACTCAGGATCCCCTTAATACTTACACCTTAAGGGATATCATTAAGAATGATATCTGTTAAATACTGTGGCTATGACTGCAGTTCAAGTCTCAGACGTGGCAGCTGGAAAATCACACCAGACATGCGTGTGCCTGTCCCAAGTCCCAGGAGAACGGAGAAGAAGAGACTGTGGTGAGGCCATCGCCCCAGGGAGTGCTTTCTCACTTTCCCTCTTTCTGTCTCTCTCTCTCTGGCAAGCACACACATTCTATGGCAAAAACCTTAAAAACAAAGAAACAAACAAAAAACAAACAAAAAAACCCCCAGTGGTTGGTTATGGAAATAGAAGAGATTGGGTCATAGCTATGTAACTCTAAGAGGTGCCTTGGAGAGGGTGGGTGTCTAAAACAGGGAGGCTTCTGCTGCTACATGGAGGCAGACATGGGTCCTGCAGTCCCCAAGGAGGGCACAGTTAGAGTGAGAATACACAATACGATCCCTGTAGATAAGCTGGCAGGTATCAGCATCTCCCTGGACAAAGGTCCAAGCCTTGTAACCCTAAACCGTCTGAGCACAGCCTAGATAGGGAGCAACCCGGAACAGTCAAGTAGATTAAGAGCAGAAAAGAAAGAAAGGGAGCAATTCTTAAAGGGAGGAGAAAAACAGCCCCTATTCCACCTCCCCACTCTCCTCTTTAGGGGACTAATCCAGAGCACTTGAAAATGAATCACCCCAGCCTTGATGATCTGAGCCCCCTGGATCTGAACGTGACAGTCTCATGACTAGGTTTTCCAGCCCAGAGCTTATCCTTATCCAGGACCTGGCCGTGAAGGCATGAGTCAGAAACTTCACACAGACATTAATATCTGGGCCTCGTGAGAATTTCATGTGTCCCGCCCTCGGCTCTCGGCTCCAGTGCACCTAATCTAGTGACGGTCACAGGACCAGTGACTTTTCCAGTTCTGTGACCATGGTAAAACTCAGGGGACCCTCCTCATCCAGCTGGAGACTCACTGTGATCTGGCTTCCTCCCCCAAACCCGAGGGCTCCTGTTGACTGGCATCTTCTCAGTGCTGTGCGCTTCCCTGGCTGCTTCCTGGATCCCAGGCTTCACCCCAACAGAGCTGCAGCCGGTCCACCCTTGCCAACTGGGCTTGATTCTGCTTCTCTGTAACATTAGTCTGGCTCCAATTCCAAAACTGGTCTCTTCCAGCCACAATGATATAAACTTGAGTGAAGCCTTAAAATCATGTGTTAGGGACCAGCGGTTAGCGTAATGGCTATGTCGCTGGACTCCCACATGGTCGACCACGGTTCGCGTCCCAGACCCGGTGGCTTAAAACTCACACCGGGCGCATGTGCACACGTGCCCAAGATCCCGAGAGGAGAATGGAGGAGAAGGGATTGCGGCGTGGCCATACCCCCGGGGGGTGATTTCTCACTTTCTGTCTCTCTTTCTCTCTCTGTCTGTCCACGCGCCCTATAGCAAAATCCTCTCCAAAAAAAAGAAAAAAAAATCACGTGCTACTCAATATAGTACACTGTATTTATCATAGAAATAATGGGAGTTGCCACCAAATGAATGCCTTAGTCATTACATTCTACAGATCAGTTTTAAATTTCTACGTGATTAAAATACAATAAAATACCCAACACTAAAACTACCTGGAACGTTCATTTTTCTCTCAAAGAACTCAGGATCCCCTTAATACTTACACCTTAAGGGATATCATTAAGAATGATATCTGTTAAATACTGTGGCTATGACTGCAGTTCAAGTCTCAGACGTGGCAGCTGGAAAATCACACCAGACATGCGTGTGCCTGTCCCAAGTCCCAGGAGAACGGAGAAGAAGAGACTGTGGTGAGGCCATCGCCCCAGGGAGTGCTTTCTCACTTTCCCTCTTTCTGTCTCTCTCTCTCTGGCAAGCACACACATTCTATGGCAAAAACCTTAAAAACAAAGAAACAAACAAAAAACAAACAAAAAAACCCCCAGTGGTTGGTTATGGAAATAGAAGAGATTGGGTCATAGCTATGTAACTCTAAGAGGTGCCTTGGAGAGGGTGGGTGTCTAAAACAGGGAGGCTTCTGCTGCTACATGGAGGCAGACATGGGTCCTGCAGTCCCCAAGGAGGGCACAGTTAGAGTGAGAATACACAATACGATCCCTGTAGATAAGCTGGCAGGTATCAGGATCTCCCTGGACAAAGGTCCAAGCCTTGTAACCCTAAACCGTCTGAGCACAGCCTAGATAGGGAGCAACCCGGAACAGTCAAGTAGATTAAGAGCAGAAAAGAAAGAAAGGGAGCAATTCTTAAAGGGAGGAGAAAAACAGCCCCTATTCCACCTCCCCACTCTCCTCTTTAGGGGACTAATTCAGAGCACTTGAAAATGAATCACCCCAGCCTTGATGATCTGAGCCCCCTGGATCTGAACGTGACAGTCTCATGACTAGGTTTTCCAGCCCAGAGCTTATCCTTATCCAGGACCTGGCCGTGAAGGCATGAGTCAGAAACTTCACACAGACATTAATATCTGGGCCTCGTGAGAATTTCATGTGTCCCGCCCTCGGCTCTCGGCTCCAGTGCACCTAATCTAGTGACGGTCACAGGACCAGTGACTTTTCCAGTTCTGTGACCATGGTAAAACTCAGGGGACCCTCCTCATCCAGCTGGAGACTCACTGTGATCTGGCTTCCTCCCCCAAACCCGAGGGCTCCTGTTGACTGGCATCTTCTCAGTGCTGTGCGCTTCCCTGGCTGCTTCCTGGATCCCAGCCAGTGCTCCCGCCCTCAGGGAGTACACTGGGGGTGGAAGGGCGGTTTCAGTACCAAGCACTCAAGGGTGAGCGATCGGGAGAGCAGACAATGAGAATCCTGGTGTCTGTGAGGCTGGGCCTGTCCCAGAGGGCACTGCAAGGAGGACATGGGGCGGGGGACTTGGACACGGCAATCCAGAGCGGAAAGACAGTCGAGGTAGGAAACCAGCCCTTGTACATACAAGTGTCCACGGAGAACTGAGCAGAAGTCAAGGGAGCTTACGTCCACTTTGTGCTCAATATGCTTCGAGTACTGCACCTCAGATGAATGACTGAATTTAATCATCACGGCCTCCCGTTGAGGTCTTACAGATATGCAAAAGAGGCACTGAGAGTGTAAGTAACACACTGACAACCACAGAGCAAGTGAAGGCCTGAGCTGGGATCTGAACATGGGTGCTCGAATCTCGAAGTCTCACTGTAAACCACTCAAGAAGCCCTTTGGGTGTAAAACTGAGGAGGTATTTAACTACTAAGATTAAGAAAAAAGGTTCTTTAAAAAAATGCTTTATTTTATTTTTCACCTTGGGTGCATATGCATACGAGAGAGAGAGAGAGAGAAATCCTCCCTTCTCCCCCACCCCAAGGAGGATGACCATGCCACAATCTCTTCGTTCCACTTCTACTAGCAGGATTTGGGGCACGTGTGCACATGTGCCTGGTGCATCTTTTCGAGCTGCTGGGTCCGACACTCGAATTGCACAATTGGTTATGTGGGACCCGGCCGCCCCTACTACCATGCCACCGACGGCCCAAGGAAAAATCATCTAAACTGGTCTGACTTCGAAAACATAGTTAAATGATTAAGTGTGTTCAACACAACCTCTCATTTCCAAGCATAATTAGAGACAAAGAATTTTGGCCTCATAATGGCTCAGAAAACACAGAGCACTTCCCACAAGGGGCCCTTGAAAAACACTAAGAATTCCTTCTGACTTGGAGACACACGTGGCCAGATGCATCTGCAATTCACAGCAAGGAAGGGCCAGCAAAACCCAGCGAGGAGGGACACACAGAAACCCCCAAGAAGAATTTCAGGTCAGAAACATTTTGTCTTAGGCAAGTTTGGGGGCTTGACCCGGAAAACTGTCATCAATATACAAAATGAGATTCCAAAAACAAACTTTCTCTGTGGGTTTAACATGAATTCTTCCAGAATCAGTGTAAAGCCATTTCCTCTCAGAAAGCTGCTGATTATCATCTGCTGACTGCTAAGCTCGGAGGTACTTAATATCCATTTGGGGTTTCACTGCAGCCAAGTCAAACTCGGCTTGCATCCTGTAACCTTTTTACGAGCAGCGATATTACTTCTGGGCATCCTCTGTAACCATCCCCCTTACATCTCACTGACCTCATCCTGGCCCGGGAGTGCAGTTCCTGACTCCTAGAAAACCCTCGCTCGTATAGGAATCTATCAACGTCCCAAAATAGAACGAACCTTTATTTTGCTTCCGGCAGTAGTTGGGCGCCCTTTCTTGTCAGCTTGCAGATTTTCAGGAAATAAAGACTTTATAAAAGGTCTGGAAAAGGAGAAAGAGAGGGTTAGCAACCATAGGTACCTTGGGAGCTGCAAGGTTGTTTCCGTCGAGGATGAGGCAGCAGGCTGTCGAGAGACACATAACCTTGGCTGTGGAGAAGCCATATTGCTCAGTGGAAGTGTCAACGTGAGACTCAGGAATTAACAATAGGCATAAGACACAAAGGGAAAATATTCTACAGGCATCTTGTAAGCCTGAGATATAAAATGTTAAAATTCCACCTTTTGATTGTCCCCACTCAGCAAAATTGGGGTATCCCAACAGAGAAAGGTCAGCAGGTTAGTTCAGATAAGCGAGAGAGACCAGAACTTGGGAATTGTACCAAATGGCTGAGTTTGAGTTCAGCACGGAGCCTGCCTGGCTCTGGTGCTTTTCTGAACCATACGCTATTGGTTCTTGTGGCGAGGGGATCCTTTGTTGCGGGTGGGGCATTGTCCTATACACTGTAGGACATTAAGCAACAGCTTCGGCTTGCTAGATGCCAGGAGCACACTGTCCCTACCCCCACACAGAAAACACTGACAAAATGCAAACTGCTTTTCAGTATGAGCCATCTTTTTAAGTTTTGCTATAAGGCACATGAGTTTGCTAAAGAGAGAGAGAGAGAGAGAGACAGAGAGAGACAGAGACAGGGTGTGGGGAGTAAAGTGAGAAATCACCCCAAAGGAGGGATGGCCACCTCATAATCCCTTCTCTTCCATTCTCCTCTCCGGATTTTGAGCATGAACACACGTGTGCCCAGCGTGTTTTCAAGCCACCAAATCTGAGACCTCAATCACACAGCCATGTGGGATCCAACCTCCTTAACCTCCGCACCACCTGCCGGCCCACTATGAGCCATGGTAAGTGAAGGAGTAACAGATTAAATCACTAGTGCCCCAAAATTTGAAATCCTTGGGAATCTTTTTTCATTTTTTTTTTTTAAGAGAGATTTTTTGCTGTAGGGCATGTGTGCTCACCAGAAAGACAGAGAGACAGAAAGCGAGAAATCACTCCCCAGGGAGATGGCCACACCACAATCCCTTCTCCTCCATTCTCCTCTTGGGATCTTAGGGCATGCACGCACATGCGCCCGGCCTGAGCTTAAGCCGCCGGGTCCGGGACTCGAACTGCAGTCAATGATATGGTCCAGTGACGTAACTATTACACCATCTGCTGGTCCCAGAAAGTTTTTTTCATAATGTACATTATCTACAAACTTGGTGGAGACCTGCCCCCACATTTCACCAGTAGTTCTAACTGAGCTGCCTCTGTTAGCTGCCTTCCTCGCCAGCACACGGTGACGACGTGACAGTTGTTGCCCCGCTGCCTGGTATTCAGGGGGTGCATCATATGTTATTTGTCCACGGAGTGAAGTGAGCCGCATAAGTTGGCAACCTGACATTCACACTCAATCACTTCCTCCTAAATGACCGTTTAGTATCTCGCACTTTCTAGGATGTCTCCTCAGCAACCTGCGTTTCACTTGACCAGACACACCTACAGAGTCTGCAGCAAAAGAGTTTACAAAACAGTCAGCCACACCTGTATGACGAGAACTGCTGTAGAAGCATCGATAGCTCTTAAACTTGTCAGACATTTTAATAATAATCAATCAATCAATCTCTGGAAGCAGGTCTGCACCTGACGGCCATGAAAGCCACAAGACAGGACTTGTGGCTTACCTAACCTTTTCAGAGCAGAGAAAATAGATTTTATGTGTTTTGACTACACAGAAATCCAACATCTCACGAGTGGAGGCACGGCAGCAAGGAAGTGCAGTGTGGGGAGAGGCAGATGGGGAGGAGCGGGAGAGTTAAATGAAGCAGAACTACCTCTGAGCAGGGCCTGAAAAGGAAACTCAGTTTTGCTTTCATCGCACTTAGGCCTGTCTTAGAAAGTTACCAGGCCTGCTGTGTGTACTGGAGAAGTGAGCCTTGCTGCTACGGCATTTTGAGTGACAGAGACTAAAACGTCAGCTCCAAGGAGGAGGCAGCTATAGAACTCGGAGACCCGGGAAGCCTTGCAACACTGAACTTGCCTGGCTTGTGTGGACCTGCTCATGGGAACTACATCTCCTTCTCTGTTACCCAGGATCTTGGGAAACTTTGCAAGGACGAGGGAGGGAAAGGACAGAGAGCTGGTCCTGAGAGCTCTGGCAGCTTCTAGGGGAACCCACTGCGTCTAGTCTTAGTGCTTAGATGGGGACTGGGGAGTCAAAACAGATCTCCTGAGTCAGTTCCTCTATGAATGCCCTTCCCAGAGTGCTTCAGGGACTCAGGTTAACTTGGGTCTTAGTAAGCCATGAGCCATCTTCAAAAGTGCAATGCCTGGGCCAGCAGGTGGCATGGAGGTTAAGGAGGTGAGATCCCACATGGCTGACTACACAGTTCAAGTCCTGGACCTGGCAGCTTGAGAAACACACCAAACTTATGTGAGTGCATGCTCAGAATCCTGGGGTGTTTTGACTACACAGAAATCCAACATCTCACGAGTGGAGGCATGGCAGCAAGGAAGTGCAGTGTGGGGAGAGGCAGATGGGGAGGAGCGGGAGAGTTAAATGAAGCAGAACTACCTCTGAGCAGGGCCTGAAAAGGAAACTCAGTTTTGCTTTCATCGCACTTAGGCCTGTCTTAGAAAGTTACCAGGCCTGCTGTGTGTACTGGAGAAGTGAGCCTTGCTGCTACGGCATTTTGAGTGACAGAGACTAAAACGTCAGCTCCAAGGAGGAGGCAGCTATAGAACTCGGAGACCCGGGAAGCCTTGCAACACTGAACTTGCCTGGCTTGTGTGGACCTGCTCATGGGAACTACATCTCCTTCTCTGTTACCCAGGATCTTGGGAAACTTTGCAAGGACGAGGGAGGGAAAGGACAGAGAGCTGGTCCTGAGAGCTCTGGCAGCTTCTAGGGGAACCCACTGCGTCTAGTCTTAGTGCTTAGATGGGGACTGGGGAGTCAAAACAGATCTCCTGAGTCAGTTCCTCTATGAATGCCCTTCCCAGAGTGCTTCAGGGACTCAGGTTAACTTGGGTCTTAGTAAGCCGTGAGCCATCTTCAAAAGTGCAATGCCTGGGCCAGCAGGTGGCATGGAGGTTAAGGAGGTGAGATCCCACATGGCTGACTACACAGTTCAAGTCCTGGACCTGGCAGCTTGAGAAACACACCAAACTTATGTGAGTGCATGCTCAGAATCCTGGGGGTGGCAGGAGGGAGGATGGAGGAGAAAGGATTGCAGGGGATGGCTATCCTTCCTGGAGTGATTTCTCACTTTTCCCCCCTCTATCTCTTTCTGTCTCTAGCGAGTAAATGTGCCCTAACCCAAACTAAAGAAAAAAAAAAGTAAGTGTAGTGACCATGAAGAATTCAGGAGATAATATTCCAGGTATCACAGACCAGAGTGTTAGACCCTCAGGTGATCAAAAACTGCCACCCCAGCTTCAATGCTCCGGTCACTTCTCCCTGACAATAGTATTAAAAATAATGAAGCTCGGGGCCCTGAAGGACATGCAGATGGCACTTGGGGTTTGGTGGCAGAAAGTGATAGGGACATAAAGAAGAGACAGAGATCGGAAAAAGAAAAACCTCTATGGGAAACCACACACGGCAGTCTAAATATAATCCAGACCCAACCGCTCAAAGGAGCAAAATGCTAACCACTCAAACACCACAAAGTTCGCTTTATACTGAAAGCTTCACCAAACCCGTATCTCACGATCAGTAAAGCCACATACACTTACAGCTCACTGCTCTGCATGAGTTCGATCAGGTCCATAAAAAGCACATCACGGTTCCTTTCACAAAAGCCATCCATATCGTAGGAGACCTGGCCAAGAATAGAGAGAAGTCGAATTTTATCCTTGAAGCGTTTCAAACAATGAAAAACCCAAGCTGGCATGGCTATCCTCAGCAGAACGTGGGCATTTCCAGATGTAGCATTTGGGATTTTGTCATGAGCTGTCACATGAAGGCTCTGCATGTGAGCTGACTTAGCAGCGAGGACCGCAGACGTGACGAGTACTGTCTGCAGCCTACATGGCCCAGATGACATGACCAGGATCCTTCCTCTCCAGACCACACACCTTGTCTTCATGGATCCCTAGGGGTGTCTCAGTAATGAATTCTTCTTTTCTTTTTAAATTTGCTATAGGGTGCATGTGTTCACCAGAGAGAAAGTGAAAGTGAGAAATTACCCTCCCCCGTCCCAGGCAGGATGGCCATACTGCAGTCCCTTCGGGTCCACTCTCCTCTTGGGATTTTGGGCATGTATGCACACGTGCCCAGCATGTTTCTCAAAGCAATGGGTCCAGGACTTGAACCGTGCAGTTGTCCATGTGGGATCTAGCCACTTTAACTACCATGCTGCCAGATGGCCCCATAAATTATAGCTAAGATAGACTGAAAATGAAACTGCTTACATTCATTCATCTATTGCAATGGACGGTGTTATTTGAGGTGTGCAGTATCTCCCTGAAGTGGTATTGAAGTCGTAGCAATCTGGCCAGAAACTCATGCTCACAGAGCCTGGTTAAGGAGAGGCCAGTTTGGATGACAATGACACTAGCCAATGTCCAAGGGACCAGGAAGTCCTAAGAGCTATGACCTCAGCTTACGTTCCTATCACCAGCACCTGCCACACAGCCTGGCGCCCAGTAGGCACCAATACTTACACCATTAATGGGATCCAACACCACAAGTAAGCTCTGAGCCCTGAGCTATACTGCCAGAAGGCACGTGCAGACAAGTCTGTGATTGTAGCAGAGACAAGAAGCCATTCCTTTAGCAGTTAATACATGTGCCAGGGTGAATCATGCTTTAAAATATGCAATCGTGTATATATGATTTGTTTTGCCTCCCCAAATAATTCATAGGTCCTATCTGTTGAACAAATAACATACAGGGAGGCATATGGACATCTGTCTTATTTGCCTTATAAGAAAACAGATCACAGACCCAAAGGCTTAAAACAGGTAGACATCACGATGTGTGACTCTGGGCCAGCTGGTGGCATGGAGGTCAAGGTGGCTGGGTCCCACGTAGCCAACTATGCCATTTGAGTCCTGTATCTGGTGGCTTTAAAACATGCTGGGTGAATGCCAAAAATCCTGAGAGGAGAGTGGAGAAGGGAAGGAGGCATGGCCATCCCCCCCAGGGGGTGATTTCTCATTTTTCGTCCCTCTGTCTCTCTCCAGTGAGCACACATGCCGTATAGCGATAAATACATATTCAGAAAAGAAGAAGAAAAGATGGACAGCATCGTTTCCTGCCCCCTGCCCCCGGCCATACCTTTCCAGCGTAATGGTGGATAATGAAGCCTTGGTTCCAGCTGTTGAAGTGCTCGTGGCTCCCGATCTGCATCTGCAGCTTCTGCAGCAGCGTCTGATCCGCCCCCTCGCCCACCGCGTGCATCGTGGCACACACGTCGTCCAGGATGCTCATGATCCCAGGGGGGTTCTGGTGACACCGAGAAGGCAAGGCCCGATCACTGCCCATTCCAAACACTCAGCGCTTATCGGCCCCTTCCTCAGCAAGGAAACAACTCCCTAGACTCCAGATACCATCTTGAAAGTCAGTTTTTCTTTTCAGGCAAGGACGTGATTAATAGTCCCAAATGGGGAGTCTCGCCGGGGATTGAAGGATAGACCAAAGTCCATTTTCCACAAAGCGGTCGACTCCCTGAAGTTTGATTTGAAGTCAGGCACAGATCATTATCTGCTCACTCCTATTCATTCTAAGTTGATTTCAACAATCCAAAGGAAAAATAAAACATTTTTCTTTGATCCCTAAATTCATTTCTTACTGTTCTTTTTCAGTCTGTTACCCATATAGGCATCATTTAAACAGTTATTTAGTGTACACAGTCTGGCGTGCATTACATTTTTTTTTTTTTTTGCATAGCACTTTTCTTTTTTTTGGAGAGGTTTTTGCTATAGGGTGTGTGCGTTCGCCAGAAAGTCAGCGAGACAGAAAGTGAGAAATCATCTCCTAGGGGGGATGGCCACGCCATAATCCCTTCACCTCCATTCTCCTCTCGGGATCTTGGGTATTAACACACATGTGCCCAGCAGGAGTTTAAGCCACCGGGTCCAGGACTTGAACCGCAGTCAGCTACATGGGATTCCAGCAATGTAGTCATTACACTATCTGCTGGTCCTGCACTTTTATTTAAGAGAGTTTTTTTGGGGACCAGCAGTTAGCGTAATGGCCATGTCACTGGACTCCCACGTAGTCAACCGTGGTTTGAGTCCCAGACCCAGTGGCTTAAACTCACGCCGGGCGCGTGTGCTTGTGTGCCCAAGATCCCGAGAGGAGAATGGAGGAGAAGGGATTGCAGTGTGGCCATCCCCCCTGGTGGGTGATT